CCCCCCTAACCCCCCCAAATTTGGGACCAGGATCCCCTAACCCCCCCAATTCTGGTCTGGGACCCCCAAATTCTATTCCAGGCCCCCCCAATTTTGCTCCCACCCCCCCTTTTCACCCCTCCAGCGCCGCCGCCACGGCCGCCCTCACCCTCCTCCCCTCCTCCTCCTCCTCCTCCCCCCCCTCCCCCCAGTCCCCCTCCCCCCAGTCCCCCTCCCCCTCCGCGGTGCCGGGGGGGCTCTGGGGGGGGTTGGGGGGCAGGGGGTCCCCCCGTCGCTGGCAGAGGTTGTGCAGGAGGACGCAGGCGAGGAGGAGGGTGGGCAGGAAGCTGAGCTCGGTGTCGTTGCGCTCGCGGAGGCAGCGCCAGCGCCGCCGCAGCCGCCCCAGGGCCCCCCCGGCCCCGCGCCGCGCCAGCCGAGCCCCCCCGCCCCCCCCCCCCCCCCCCCCGGCCCCCCCCTCCCCCCCCCCCCCCCCTTTTCCGCATCCCCTCCCCCCCTTTCCCCCCGAGCCTCCGGAAAAGCGCCGAGTCCCGGAACCTGGTGCCGGGGGGTTGGATCTCCACGTTCCAGAGGCAGCCCCGGGAATCCACGGTGGCCTGGAGGGTCACCACGTGCCGCCCCTCCCCCGCCCTGTCGCGATAGAGCCCCGGGGGGCCCCCGGGGGGGGCTCGGATGGGGACCCGCAGCCGCGCCAGGACCCCCCGGAGCTGCGGCAGCCGGAATTCCGGATCCCGGGGGTCCCGCCCGCCATCCGGGGCGATCGGGGCGTTTTCCATGGGAATCTGGGGGGTTCCGGAATTTTCCGCCGCTTTCCCGGTGTTTCCCGGGGGATCCCGGCCGGAATTTGGCTTCCCGGGGTTTTCCAGAGGGGTTTTCCAGGAGTTTCCCGGGAGCTCACGCCCGGAGCTCGGCTGGGTCCGGGAGCTCCCCACAGGAATTCCGGAATTTTCCGTCAGTTTCCTGGCATTTCCCTGGGGTTCCCAGCCGGAATCCTGGAAAATTTTGGGATTTTCCGTGGGAATCTGGAGTTTTCCAACATTTTCCGTGGGAATTTGGTTTTTTCCAGACTCTTCCGCCGGGATTTGGCATTTTCTGGCGCTTCCCGGTGGTTCCCAGCTGGAATTCGTTGGGATTTGGGGTCTCCCGGAGTTTTTTTCCGTCGGGATCTGGATCTTTCCGGAGTTTCCCGCCAGGATCCGACGTTTTCCAGGGTTTCCCGGGGTTTCCTGGCCGCAGTTCAGGACAATGTGGCGTTTCCGGGGGTTTTCTTGGGATTCCCACTTGGAATTGGGGGGAATTCGGGGCTTTCCGGAGCCTTCAGCCGGAGGAGTCCAGGTTTTCCCAGAGTTTTCCGGGGATTCCCATCTGGAATTCGGCGGGATTTGGGTTTTCCTGCTGCTCCTCCGGGGGCAGTTCCCGGCATTCCTGGAATTCTGAGGGAATCCCGGGCCGGGATTGAGCAGGAGGCTTCCGGAACCTTCCGCGGCGGGTCGGGATTCCGACCCCAAATCCATCGGGATTGGGACTTCCGGGGCTGAATCCATTGGGAGGTGCAATTCCTGGCTGGAATCCTCTGGAATTCCTCCCTCACCTCCCATCTCCAGGCAGGATTTTGCCCCCGAATCCCTCGGGATTTGAAGGTCTGGCAGATCCGTGGGCATTTGGAGCTGCCCAGTTCTCATTCCCGCTTTCGTTCCCATTCCTGTTCCCATTCCCACTCCCATTGCTGTTCCCATTCCCGTTCCCACTTCCGTTCCTGCCTCCCCCGCGAGCAGATCCATGGGCAGCATCAACCTCCCCGCTCCCACCGCCATTCCCGCTCCCATTCCCTCTCCCGTTCCCTCTCCGGTTCCCTCGTCCCCCCCCAGGATTCGCACGACGGCCCCGCAGACGTCCCTGAGGATCTTGCAGACGGAGCTGCGGGACACCCCGAAGGTGGCCTCGAGCGCTCGGTACTCGGTGACGGCGCCCAGGCGGCTGAGGGTGAGCGCCAGGCGCACCTCGGCGGGCACCGCGCGCCTCATGGCCGTGTCCCGGCGCCCGATGGCGCCGCCCAGGCGCGACACCAGCTCGTCGAAGGTGGCCGGGGGGAGACGGAAGCGCTCGCTCCACTCGTGCCCGCCCAGCGCCTTCTCCCGCACCGTGGCCCAGAAGGCCGAGCTGCGGCTGCGGCTCCACACGCGGCCCCCGCGGCTCCGGCGGCAACGGCGGCGACGCTGCTGCTGCTGCTGCTGCTGCTTCGAGGAGGCCGCCGCCGGTGGCGCCGGAGTGGGCCCCGGAGTAGGCCCCGGAGTAGGCCCCGGAGTAGGCCCCGGCGGGCCCAGCGCCAGGCGCAGCGCCGAGAGGCGGCGGCGGCGGCGCCGCAGGAGGTGGCGGAGGAGGAGGAGGCGGCGGAGGAAGAGGCGGCGGCGGCGGCGGCGGCGACGGCGGAGGAGGAGGAGGAGGAGGAAGGAGAAGGAGGCGGCGGCCAAAGGTAGCGCCGCCGCCGCCGCCGCCACGGGCGGCGCCATGTTGGGCGAGAGGCGGTGCCGCGCATGCGCGCGAGAAGGGGGCGTAACGGCACGTAGGGCACGCGGGGGGGGTTTCAAATAATGAAGGGCGCATGCGCCAAAAGCGAAAAATATTTACGATTATTTCAGGATTTTGGAGGGTTTTAGGAACTGCTTTGGGGCATTTCATGGGTCTCTCGGGGAGATTTCGCCCTTTCACCTATTTAACCAGAACTGGCCAATCAGCGCTCGGGGCGCCTCCGAGGGGGCGGGACTCCGTGTCCTCTCATTTAATCGCGTTGCTCAATAAACCCTGACAACCAATCACGTCTCTGCGCTCCTTTTGACTGGCAGGAGTTCCTGGCGTTTCAACCAATGGGTTTTCGGGGCGGGTCGAGAAGGGCGGGACTTCTCCCGCGCTCAGCGAATGGCGGCGCCGCGTGGGCGTGTCCTCGCCCTCCCCTCAGCGCGGGCGCCGCCATGGAGCCGCTGCGGCCGCTGCTCGTCCCGTTCCTGCTGCCCGAGCGCTGCTTCGACGAGCTCTTCTTGCGCTTCCACCTCCTCAACGGTGCCGAGAGGAGGCTCGCGAGGGGGATTTTCGGGCGTTTTGGGCGGGTTTGGGGTGTTTCTGGGGTTTGTTTTATAATGGAATTGGGTGGGGCGGGCGTGGCCGCCATGTTTGTTTTTGGCGGCGAAGCCTCGCGCCGCCATCTTTGTTATGGGCAAGGGAAGATGTGGGCAAGAGGCGGCGGCGCCATCTTTGTTGTGGGCAAGGAGGGGGCGTAATTTTGGGGGGATTTGGGACCCCCCTGACCCCCCCTCGTTCGTGTTTTTCCCCCTCGCAGTTCCGTGTCTGAAAATCCTCCTGAGCAAAGCCCTGGGATACGCGATCGTGGCGGGATCCGTCCTGGGTGAGGGTCTGGGGGGTCCTGGGGGGGGGTTTTGGGGGGTCTCGGGGGGGGGTTGGGGGGGGGGGGGGGGGGGGGGGGGGGGGGGGGTTGGGGGTCCCTGACTTCTTCTGCCCCTCCCCTGCCCAGTGAAGGTGCCTCAGGTGCTGAAGGTTTGGGGGTCCCGGGGTTGGTTTGGTGTTATTTTGGGGGGGGTTGGGGTTATTTTGAGGGTATTTTGTTGTTATTTTGGGGAGGTTTGGTGTTACTTTGGGGGGTTTGGGGTTATTTTGGGGGTATTTTGGGGTTATTTTTGGGGGGGTTGGGGTAATTTTGGGGGGATTTCGGGGTGGTTTTGGGGGTCTCTGACCCCTTCTGTCCCCCCCCCCA